AGATTTTATTTATTTGACAGAGACAGAGAGCACAAGCAGGGGGAAAGGCAGGCAGAGGGAGAGGGAGAAGCAGATTCCCCACTGAGTAAGGAGCCCGATGTGGGACTCAATCCCAGGACCCTGGGATCATGACCTGGGCCAAAGGCAGTTGCTTAACCGACTGAGCCACCCAGGCGCCCCTGATAAGATAAAATTAAGTGAGGGATTCCAAGGGCTAGAGGAAAAAACATGCAAGAGGCATTTAAGGGAACAGCAATGGGTTTTATCAAGTGTATCATTACGCTTACATTAAAGACAAAAACAAAACCACTCTGGCAGTTGAAAGGGGTATTTTCCTTTGCAGCTGACAGGCCCCAGCTATCAATAATTATGAGTAGCTGAAAAGAAATTCTTGTATTAAAGTATATGGGGAAAAAAAGAGACACTTTTACTGACAAAAACAAATGTGAATGAAAAATCCAAGCGTATCTGACAAGCCTCTTTACAATTTGAAAACTGCAATCTATTAATCTTAATAATAATGCCAATTTATTATCTTAAGTTTAAGTAATTAAGATAATAAATCTTTCCTCTAAATTAAATGCTGTTTTTATGGAGCTAAAATTTGACAAAATCAGGGTTAAATAATTTTTTCTTTAATCCGTCTGACAGAATTACTCTGAATTACTGATAGATGGACCAATAATTTCAGTCTGTGTTGAAAACAACAGAATTTTACTAGCATACTGACATCCTGATTAAACAAGCTTGTTTCCTGAAGTTCGGTAGCATTATGTCCTATTCTCTACTTGGGAACATTCTGACCTAGAAGATTTTCTGCTTTTAAAAAAGGTATTTTTTAGCACACTTTGAGGAAACTAGCAAAAAGAAAAAAGTCATGAGTAAATACACAGCTTAGAAATGATGCCTGTATGATTGCTTTAAAGAACATTAAGAGTACTATATAATTCACAACATGGTAGTATTAAAATCTATCTAATTTTAATTAAGTACATCACAGAAATGAACAAAGAGCAAAGACTCATGAGTCAAATAAAAAATTTATGCTCCAGTAAAAAATGAATTTGGATTCGTTATATCCAATAAGCTTTTGGTAAAAGTGTCTGAATCTCAGTAAGTGTTCGAGGAAATACATAACACTAACTTACCTTACAATAGATATTCCTTTAAATGGATGATCTAACACAGTACTGTCAGAAGTAAACTTGCAATTTTTCACCTTTCCACAACGTAATCAAGCAAAATAGGCTACCGAGAGAACAGAGAGAACAAAAGATGCAAGTCAATTACTCACTAAACTGCCATTTTAAAAAGAACTGGAATATCACTTAAGAGTGCTTTGTAGCAAATTGGTTATCTCCCAGAAAACTGTCTACAATTCCTGAATAATCTAATTGTAGGACAAGTGGCCTGATTTGTTACTTTGACTATGATACTTGACTATACTGAAACAATAATTTCATTTTTTCAAACCCCAAATCAGCAAACAGAAGGACTACCGCCATACCTATAAGGTACTCATGTATACCTAAGAGGGAAAAAAAAAAAAATCCATGCTCTCAAATCTTTTAAATCCAGAAGTTATTTAAGCTTACTAAAGCAGGCATCCTCCCTCAAAAACCAACCCAAGATAAAATTTAACATTCCCTTTCTAGGAGATCATGAGCTGTGTTCAATGAGACCAGTACATGGACACATATGCACAAGGGTGAGTGATTTACCCTAGGCTGAGCAAGCAGGGATATTGCAAGACTATCTGGGCTTGGACATAAAACCTGCCTCACTCTGGTCTATCACTCTGCTCCAGGCCTGGTTTTCCAAACCTCCAGACCAAAGTTGTTGGTGCCCTCAGACTTAATACACCATTGCTGTTCTCTCTTGCATACCTTTTCAGGGATGGCTCGGGTCTCAGCCCCAATAAAACTTTCTCAGATAGGCCTTCACTGATACCCAATGGAAATTTACCCTCCCACCACCTTATACTGTCCCTCAGGGTCATATTCCATTATACCACCCTATGATCAAAGCAATAGGCATTATATTACTTTCTTATTTATTGTACTTCCTACATTAGAATGTTAACTTCCAAAAAGCACGGATCTTGGGACCTTGTCTATCTTGTTCGTAACCGCATTCCCAGAGCTTAGGTTAGGACTTGGCATAAAATAGGTGAATGAATAAATGAATGAAAAACAAACTGGTTTTAAAAGTCATTAGGACAGGGGCGCCTGGGTGGCTCGGTCGGTTAAGTGTCTGCCTTCGGCTCAGGTCATGATCCCAGGGTCCTGGGATCGCTGGGATCAGCCGGGAGCCTGCTTCTCCCTCTCCTTCTGCCCCTCCCCCTGCCTGTGCTCTCTCTTTCTGTCAAATGAATAAATAAAAATCTTAAAAAAAAATCATTAGGACAGTATCAAGTGTGGTAAGGACATAGAACAACTAGAACCCTCATACATTGCTGGAAGGCATGTCAATTGGTAAAACCACTTTGAAAAACGGGCTGTATCTACTAAAGCGGCACATCCTATGACTCAGCAATTCCAACACAATATACCCAACAGAAAAACATACATACCATCAAAAGACATGAACCAAAATGTTCATAGCAGCACTATACAGCAATGAAATTAAACCAACTACAACTGCACATATGGTGAAAATCTCAAAAAATACCAATGAGCGAAAGAAATCAGACACCAAAAGAAATCATACTATATTGATTCCATTCATATAAAGCTTAAAAATAGGTTAAAAGTAACCCATGGTGTTAGAAGTCAGAACAGAAGGTAACCTAAGTGACTGAAAGAGAACACAGTGGGGAAGGGACATGTTTCTGGGATGCTGGTCAAGTTTCTTGATCTGGAAGCTGGTTACACAGTTATGTTCTCTTTAAGAAAATTCCTTGACCTGTACACTTCTGATATGTGCACTTGTCGGTATAGTTATTTTTCAATGAAAAGTTCAAAAAATTAATTAAGAATCCTTCCACAGAGGCAGCATAAGGATGTCAAGCCTCTTTGTACTGTTACCCCACTTTCTTACCTTCAACCCAGCATTTCATCTCACCATTAGCAGAGAGATTACCCCAGAGGGATGATGAATGGGGTGGAAAGGCAGGCCTGACTTGGTGGAGCTCTCAATAGGCTCTCAATTGTTGCAGATACCAGAAATCTAGAACATACACACCACCCAGTGCAGGGTGCCACACCCAAGGAAAATATAAGGGAGTTGCGGTAAAAATGATAGCAGGTATGTATTGAGTCAATACGACAGAAGGTGGAGCCAAAACTCTATACATTTATCTCATTTAATCCTCAAAATAATCCTAGTACAATGCTAGTACATACTAAGTGCACAACACCTCTCAATAATAAATATTTGCTGAATGAAAGATAAGTGCTATTAGCACTTCAAAATGATTAACTTGTCCCAATGTTACACAAGATGGTACAGCCTTAATTCGAACCCTGAGCAGCCGGGATTCCAATGACTCTAAACCTTACAACACAACACCTGCGTGAAAGCGGATAATGTTAATTGCCTGAGAGAACTTGCTTCTGGTGAGCTTACTACAGTAAGTCAGGCTTCCCAGCCACTAATTGGGAAATCAAATGGACTTCAATTTCCTTACCCACAAAATGGATATAATAATAGAATCTTCCTTTTATTCAACCAATATATATTAATCACCCATTGTGTGCCACGCACTATTCTTGGATTAAGTGAGAAAATGCAAAATGGCAAATTCACTTCTTCACTCCCTTAAACCCTTGCATTTATTTGTAAGAGACAGTGGATCTTTAAAAAAAAAAAATTTGAGGAACGTTGGGAAACTCGCGTACAATTCACACAAAATTTTGCACTTAATTTCGGGGAATTCATAAACCTTCTAACATCCACGTATTGCCCTCTGTCTCGTTAAAAACTGTTGCAGAAGACTTGGTAAACCGTGCTCTCACATCAGAAACCTCCGCTGGCATTCACAAGTACCCAATAACAGCAGGGAAGGGAGTACCATTTTTACAGACTACTAAAATCGAAAACTGACATATCTAATCATCGCAGTTTCGTAGCCCAGGATAAGAATCTCACATCTCATGCTTCTAAGTCCAGTGCTTTTTCCAACTATGAAAATCAGAAGGCGCTTCTACTCTGGGGTTAGACTAAAGGAAGTAGAAGACATGCCATTAGACTTCGCTCCTAGAAAGAAGGTGGATCAGAGTCCCGCAATTAAGAGCAGCTCACCTGGGGCGGGAAGCTTGGGTGGGAGCCAGGCCTCTTATTCACAAAAAGCGACCTAGACAAGGCTCTCTGAGCTCAACTGTTACATCCGTAAAATGGGGTAATAACTTCTGCTGTTCTGCCTTCCCTGTGGTGCTTGGTTCACGACGCCCCAAAGAAGGAAAAGACGGAAAAGCTTCCCAAGGGTAAAGCAAATAGGAAGGATGGTTAAGATCATTAATGAGACTCTCAGGGCGCTGAGGGCAAGAAGGCTCACGCTTCTCCGCTGTTGGCTTCCGGTTTCCCCAACGGCAAACTCTCAGTCCCTGGCGGAGCGGGAAGCCTTTTACAAATCGGGATGTGGTACAGAAAAATGCTCCTAATGGGCTTAGAACAGTGGTACTTAACAGGCGCTTTGTAAATAATTTGCTGAATGAATCAATGACTGAGTCCACAGAGAACTTCTCCAGTCTCCCCGGCCCAGATCCCCCTCCAGCCCCGGAATGCCACACTCACCGGGCGCTGAAGCCTTCTGTTCCGACCGTCTCAGCTCCAGGAGTTCGTGGAGCCGCAGCAACTCTAACCTGCCCCGGCTGGACTCCTCTTACAGCCACAGGCCGCACGCCAGAGCCAAAGCGGGCGCCCAGCTAGGAAAGAAGGTGGAGAAAAGAAATTTTCGCGCCAAATGTCGTGGCTCCGCCCCCAGGCTGTCCCTACGTTCCAACACCAGCCAGCCCTTCAGCCCCGCCCACCCAGGAGGGGTTGCACGTCGTACGTCCGCCAACGTGCAGCGGCCATCATTGATTCGGTCGGCGACGCAGTTCGCGGAAGGAAGGTCCTTTCCTCGCAGCATTCCGGGTACCAAGATGGTGGCCTGAGCTCTTTAGAGAGACTTCCTCCATCCTTCTCCGTCCCTCTCAGATTTTTTTTTTTAACCTGGATGTGACGCATTAAAGGACCCGACGGAAATAGAACTGAAGGCGTTCTAAAATGGCGAACCGTACAGTGAAGGATGCGCACAGTATCCACGGCACCAATCCTCAGTATCTGGTGGAGAAGATCATTCGGACGCGAATCTATGAGTCCAAGTACTGGAAAGAGGAGTGCTTTGGACTGACGGGTGAGCGGCAGCGCGCGGACCCCCTACCCCCGCCTTGTGGCCCAGTTCTCCTGACTGGGCGTCGGTGGGAGTGGTCTCCGGGCGTGAGACTGGGGGGGAATCTGTCAGTCATTCAGAAAAATCTGAGCACCTACTATGTGCCTAGTTTTGTGTTTGGCTTTGGGGACACATATGAATCTGCTACAGCCTTATTCCGAAGGGTGTCTGTGTTGGGTTCTCTGGGTGTTTCCACGTTTAATATAATCTGCTGAGTTCCCAAACACTGTTAAGCTCAGGGACTCTGAAGTTCTTAAAGGAACCTTAACATACCTGAAACTCAATTCAGGGTATTACTATCCCTAAATCTGGACCATTTGCAGTATTTCCACGTTCGGGTCCTAATACAAATACCAGTTCTTCAGAGAAGGCTTCCAGGTAGTCTTTAAATCTTTGAATTCTGGCTTCTCATTTTAGTAGCTCTTTTACCCCAGTGAACCATGTCGTCCTCTGCTGTAAAACGAGTATCATAATGCCCACCCCAAAGGGTTGCTCTAAGGATTAAATGCAATAATGTATAAAAAGTATTTGGTATGGTTAGAGGTGTATATTTTAAGACGCATTCAGCAGTTGTGGTGGTGCTAGTTGTTACCACTGTTAACTACTCTGTGCCATTATCGTTGTTGCCACCACCATTAGCTGTGTGTCCATGGACACGTCATATTGTTTCTCTCTGAGTCACTGTTAAATTTTGGAGTCATGTAAATTGTGGATAAATTTTGGGACCTTTTCTCATTACATAGAGTTCTCTCCTTGGATGATCTCCACACTACGGTTACATCTTATATGTAGATGCCTTCAAATTTCTCTCTCCAGCCCAGATCTCTCTCTGAGATCTAAATCTCTAATTCCAAGACATGCCAACTCAGTATGTCCCAAAGTGAACTCATGACCTTTTCCCTCCAACGCAAGATTATGTTCCCTTGTTGTATAATTGTATTGCATTCTGCCTCTTATTTCAACTATTCATCACACTTTCAATTATTTTTTCAATGCTTTCTGCCTTGCCAGTCTGTAAACTCTGTAAGTGTAGTTATTTTGTCCTTCTTTATCCCTCTACCTACATCTCCAGTGTTTAGCACCTGGCTATAAGTTTGACTCTCACTATAGCCCTGAAACTTTGTACATTTATTATTCAGATTTGAACTGATAGTCTAAAAAAGAAGTAAGGTAAAATGACTTGCCCTAGAGTTCACACAGCTAGTGTTTGCTTTTGAAAACAATTGTGGAAGGTTATTATCCCCATTCTGTAGATAACATTTGCTCAAGGATATGTAGCTATTGAGTCGTTTGCTGTTACTGTTCTTTTAACTTGGAATCTGGCTGTGTTTCTCCAAACATATGGTGACAGGCATGGACTCTGAAGTTAGACTGATAACATGTAAATCCAGGCCTGCTCCTCTGGCTGTGGACCCTGAGCAAGTCACTTAACTTTTCTTAGCCTTCATTTTCCTTAGCTGAAAACAGCCTCAGTGCAGGAACTTCATGGCTAATTGTGAAGATTAAATGAGATAATATGACATGCGTAGCAGAGTACCTGGCATATAGTCATCTTTCAGTGTATATTGGCTGCTATTCTTATTATTTTTACTATTAATACACAATTGTTCTTCTAATATTAAACTGTAAATTAGTATTCAGGAGCACCAAACCTTGAACTAGCTTATCTCCACTTCAAACTGGGAAAAGCTTGGTCCTAATATGTCTGAGATGCCACTTTTTGTTTTTGCTTTTTTTTAGCTGAACTTGTAGTCGATAAAGCCATGGAGTTGAGGTTTGTGGGTGGTGTCTATGGTGGCAACATAAAGCCAACTCCCTTTCTGTGTTTGACCTTGAAGATGCTTCAAATTCAACCTGAGAAGGATATCATTGTAGAGTTTATCAAAAATGAAGATTTCAAGTGAGTGAAATGTTGACTCGCTAATATAAAAGCTTCAATTTCAGTGGTCCAGAATTTGGCTTTGGTTAAGAGGAGTGAAAGCAGTGTATCTTGTTATTTTGTCTGTTCTGATTATATTGATCTTTTCCTTTAAATTCTCAGCCCTGGTAAATACCCCTCGTGCCCAAAAAGCATTTCACAAATTCACTGAACATACATTAAGCAGAAGTGAGTGCCTCGTATGCTGGTGGCACTGGATGCTCAAAGATGAAGAAAACTACATAATGTGGTAGATAAGTGGGAAAACTTTGGTGTAGATGGAGGTTCATGTCCAGACTCATGTCTAGTCATGTTCAGATTTATTGTGACCTTGGAGAAGTTACTACATTTTATGAGCTTTACTTTCTTTACTTGTAAAATGGAGATGATGATACCAATTCAAGATTGATGTGAGGGTTAAAGAAGATAGTGCTGTATATCTCACAACACAGTGCCTGTTGCATGGTAAATACCCCCAAAATATCAGCTGCTCATATTTTATTCATTCTCAAGGAGTTCACAGACAAGTATAGAAGACAGATATAGTAGCTTATTACGTGCCACTCTCTAAGGGATTTACATATAATAATTTATTTAACCTTCACGACAACCCTGCAAAAAAAATTTTTTTAAAGATTTTATTTATTTATTTGACAGAGACACAGCGAGAGAGGGAACACAAGCAGGGGGAGTGGGAGAGGGAGAAGCAGGCTTCCCGCTGAGCAGGGAGCCCAATGCAGGGCTCGATCCCAGGACCCTGGGACCATGACCTGAGCCGAAGGCAGACGCTTAACGACTGCGCCACCCAGGCGCCCTAACCCTACAAAATTATTATCCCTGTTACACAGGGAAGGAAACTTAGGGACAGATTAATTTCAAGGTCAAACAGATAGTAAATGGCAAACTTGGCTTCAGTGTTCGGATTCTTTTCTACTCCATTCTGTTTGTCATATAAAGAAACTGTTGAGTTTCAAATGCCTACTAGTTATTCCAAGGGAAGAATTTGAGTGGGTAGTCGGATATCGGAAAAAAGAAAAAGGAATCTTACAAAACATTAACAGCTAGAAAATAGCTTTTATTAGGCACTTATATGTGCTGTATGCTATGCTTAGCACTTTACACACGTTTCTTAGTAAATAAACCAAGCCAGCAAATTAGGCACAATTATCTCCATTTTACAAGGATTGAGGAAGCAAGTAATTTGCCTAATGTAACAAAGCCAGTAAGTAATGGAATCAGAATTGTAACCCAGAGGACTTTGACTTTTTTCCAGAACCAGTACTCTGTGCTGCCTAGCAACAGTTTATATATTTACATCTATATATATATTATTTCTTGTATTGTTAGTAAACATATCATATATTATTGTTAAATTCAGTATCTCATTTGATTCTTACAGTAATCCTATGAGGTAAATAGGTTCTGTCTTCATGTTATACATGATATAATAGACTCTGAAAGTTGATCAACATGTCCCAAGTTCCTGCAGCCAGTAAGTGGTAGAATGGGAACTTGTAACCCAGGTCTTCATATTTTACCTTTCTGCTGCCCCATGTTGCCTCTAAAATTACAGTTCTCTCATCTGCCAAAGAAGAGAAAGAACTTGTACATCCACTACTGTCCTGAGAAAAGCCAGGTATGAAACTCAAGAACAAGAACTTTTTAGGATGGCCTATTGTTTCACTGTCCTCTATTTGTCAGATATGTCCGTATGTTGGGAGCACTTTACATGAGGCTGACAGGCACTGCAATTGATTGCTACAAGTACTTAGAGCCTCTCTACAACGACTATCGAAAAATCAAGAGCCAGAACCGAAATGGGGGTGAGTATGGCACCAAGTGTTTGGACCTTCCTCCCTGAACCAGTTTTTATTTCACCAATATCTCTACCTTCACATTGTAATGTACATTGTGAATGCTCTTCATCCTTGTTGTTACTGTCTTCATTTCAGTTTCTCCACCTCCTGCATGGAGTACTCCATTAGACTCCTAGCTTCCTGTTGGCCTTACCCAGTCTATCCCTGTCTGCCTACCTTTCCAACTGTATCTTTTTTTTTTTTTTTAAGATTTTTTATTTATTTATTTGACAAAGAGACCCAGCGAGAGAGGGAACACAAGTAGGGGGAGTGGGAGAGGGAGAAGCAGGCTTCCTGCTGAGCAGGGAGCCCGATGCGGGGCTCGATCCCAGGACCCCGGGATCATGACCTGAGCCGAAGGCAGACGCTTAACAACTGAGCCACCCAGGCGCCCCTCCAACTGCATCTTATGTCAGTCCCAGCCTTGCATCATGTGCTCCATCCCATATGACCTACCTCCAGAATGACCTCTGAAAAAACATTCCCCAAACCTCCCAAAGTTTTCTGTATGTTACATCATCATTTTTAATGGCCTCTTCTCTAACACTGTACTTCACACTGCAGTATAGATTAAGTGTACTCATACTTATGTAGGAATCCCACTGAAAAATAGTATGTATATCCAAAGGGGGCAGCTCCATACATTTTACAAAGGTATTTTTTGGTGGTAGAGGGGGATTCAGGGTAATACAGTCAAAACCTTTTTCTTCTCACTTAGTGTCGTAACAGAAGATTAGTAACATTGCCTTTTACATGTAACATTAAGCAGTAGAAAGTCAAGAATTTGGTATTTTACTGTAAACTTTTATTAACTTACTAACTTGTTTATTGGATAAATACATAATTAAGTGCCAGTGTCATGCCAGGTACTGTCCTTTGTACTGGAAATAACATGGTGAACAAGATGGTCATGGGCATCATGGAATTCCTTATGTTTATATTATGTTAAACTAAGATGGGGTTTTTCAACCTATTGACAATTTGATCCAGATGATTCTTTGTTGTGGGGAGCTGTCCAGCTCATTGTAGGATATTTAGCTGTATCCCTGGCCTCTACCCACTAGATGACAGTAGCATCCCCACTAGTTGTGGGTGGCAAAGTTAACCCTTGTTTGAGAACCACTGAACTAAGGTTTACTTTAAAAATTCTGAAAAGCTATTACTTTATTTACCATATGAGATACATGCTCTATATTTAGAAACATGGTTTACTTGAGAAATTGTACTTGAGTTATATGATCTGTTCAAGAACATCACCCCTGGGCACCTGGGTGGCTCAGTCGGTTAAGCATCTGCCTTCAGCTCAGGTCATGATCCCTGGGTCCTGAGATCGAGTCCTGCATCGGGCTCCCTGCTCAGTAGGGAGTCTGCTTCTCCCTCTCTCTCTCCCCCTCCCCTCTCTCTACCCCTCCCCCTGCTCATGCTCTCTCCTGTGTGCTAATAAATAAAATCTTAAAAAAAAAAAAACAAAAAAAATCACCCCTATACAATTCAGAACTGTTCGTGCTTGCTTTTGTGTTGTGTCTCCTGCTAATTGGGACAGCTTCATTCATCCCTTTATCCCCAGCTCCAAGAAGAGGCCTGGCATATAGATGGCCTCAGTAAAGGTGAGCTGAATGAATGAAGTGATGATGACAAGGCTATGAATGGCTGTAGTTTGAGCCCAGGTCTGTCAGTAATCCCTTCTCCGTAACTGCCACACTGAATAGCTTTACTAGTAAATGTGCAGGGAAGGGAGGCTGCAGAGGATTCACACTTTGTATACCAAGTACTTTTTACATACAGATTTTTTACATATAGAGTCTTACATTTCTTTTACTTGTTGGCTATATAAATTTATTTCCAAGTTGCCTGAGCTTATGATTGTTCTTTCAGAGTTTGAACTGATGCATGTAGATGAGTTTATTGATGAACTGCTGCACAGTGAGAGAGTCTGTGATATCATTCTACCCCGGCTACAGGTAAGAGATAAAGGTCTCTTGTCAGAGTTGCCCTTCTCTCCCCAAGACAGGGAGACAGACAAGTACACATACACAATAAAACACTGTAGCCCATGGATCTCAGGGGTCCTCATCTTAATAACTAGTCTTCAAGAAGATAGCAGGAGGGGAAGAATGAAGGGGGGTAAATTGGAGGGGGAGACGAACCATGAGAGACGATGGACTCTGAAAAACAAACTGAGGGTTCTAGAGGGGAGGGGCGTGGGGGGATGGGTTAGCCTGGTGATGGGTATTAAAGAGGGCATGTTCTGCGTGGAGCACTGGGTGTTACACACAAACAATGAATCATGGAACACTACATCAAAAACTAATAATGTAATGTATGGTGATTAACATAATAAAAAATTTAAAAAAATAGTCTTCATATGTGTGAAAAAGGGGATTGGGAGAGAAAACAGATAAAGTATTTAAAGGGTAGGGCTTTAAAAGTGAGTAAAACAGGAAGACTTTCTTCTTTAAAATGATATATGAAGGAAATTCTACGATGTAAAACAGATAAAAGGAGGGTCAGCAGTGGTAGACTGAGATCTTAACCCCTTAAATGTCACCTTTATAACGCTGCGCCTTTTCCTAGTGATAAATGATTATCCATGAAGCACCTTTCAGGAATGGGTTTTGCAGAGTATTATTTTAGAACTACTGTTATAAAATAAAAAGGGAAAACAGATACAGTAGGTTGCCTAAAGAGAAAGGGAATGATCTGTAATGGAGAGATGACGAAGCAGGGAATTAAGAGATTAAGTTTCTCTTGTTACAGCTGACTAGCTATGGAACCTGGTTTTATTTTCCCATCTATAAAATGGGGAAATTAGGCTACTTCAGTGGTCTTTAAACTACTCTGTGGGACTGTTTTAAGGCTGCTGAGAGGAGTAAGAGGAGACAGCCCCACATATTGCAACCAGAGTAGCTCCTTTTTTCTCTAAATTACATATTGGGCTTAAGAGTGAGATTTCATTTGAACAAAGGGTTTTTTCTTTTTTTCTTTTAAATGGCTTTATTAAGGTATAATTGACATAAACTACATATTAAGTGTGCAATTTGGTAAGTTTTGCCATATGTATACACCCTTGAAACTGTCGTCACATCAAGAATAGTGAACATACCACCCGAAAAGTTCCCTTTTTTCCTTTTGTGTAATCCCTTCCTTTCCTCCTCTCTCACCCCTAAGCAACCATTGATATACTGTCATAATAGATGTGTTTTGGAATTAATACAATACATGCTTTCTTTTTTCTTCCTTCACTCAGCATAGTAATACATATTTCATGATAATTATTTCGAAGTAGGGAATAGAATGAATTGCAGATATCTGAATCTTAAAAGAAAAAAAGATATCTGATAAATGATTCAAATGAGGCAGCAAATCAACCAGATAAAAAGTAGTTGGTAGATGAGTGCTCACATTTTCCTCCACAGTGACCCAGTTACAAGAATCTATAAAATAAAAATCCTGAAAATGAGTGTGGTATATCTTTCCTATTCTTTATTGGCTACTGTAGACTAGTGAAGAGAATAAGATTTCAAAACTGAAAATCTGCTTTCAGGGCCCAATTTTCACACTTCATTATGGTTATGTTAACTATCATTATTAGCTGCTCTCATTTTTAGAAATGCTATAAGAAATGGATTATTGTGAATTGCAGTCAGTTTGTAGCTAAGGGTTCAAAAGCCCATTCAGCTTTAAAAAGCAAGCCTATTGGTGTAAATAAGATGGTCTGCATAGAGTCTAGAAGACCATAAAACATGCCTCACTGAGAGAGAAATTGAAATCTAACTGATGTATATTTTATCACCAAGAAGTATGGTCTGGTGTGGGCCTCTTTGTGTCCTAGATGAAGTGACCCTTAAGACTACCCTTCTGCTCTGATGCTGTTCTTATTAAGGACTTCAGTGCCCTGACATTGGCAAGGAGCTGCTCTGAAATGAATTCTAATTTCATCAAACACAAATACTATGAATTAATATATTGATTTTAGTCACTTCTGAGTCTGGTGAACATTAGGAATTTGGGATGCCCTGTCTGATGCAGTCCTAGATCCCAAACTGGTGATCCTGTAACTGGAGAGCCTTTTTCTAAGGAGCTCTTTAATGAGGGATTGACTTCACATAGCAGCATCTTTGTCTCATTTTCCCAACCTTTATAGAATTTTGTTAGGGATGACTGAGCTCTAAGCTAAATGTTACTATTTATCCTAGGGCTGTCCAACATTTTTTATGTCTTGGGCACAAGAAAATGATAAGGGATCTTAGGACCCAGCCAGTCCCGTTTGGCATTTTTGAACTCCTCTTTGCCTTTCAGGTCCTTAATCATGCAGTAAGCCAGCTAAGCCACATCTCAAAAGAAAATGGAACCAGGAGATGGACTGTTTATATCCTGTACTTGGTTCAAAATGCATGACTCTACTAAACAGTTCCCTAAATCCCAGGTCAGGTAGAGCTGGTGCTACTCCAGACCAGGACCCAAGGCACTCTTCATCCCCCAAACTGGGCTGGGCCTCAGTGGGTGTCTTGGGGTAGATTCTGCTCTGACACCTCTCTTGGAACTACCAGTCACCAGAGTTACAACTGTGAACTTATTGGCCTTTGTATATGAAACTCCATTTTTATTCAGGGCTACACCTATACTGATTGATATTTTAGTGACCTTAAGAGTAAAAGGTTACAGAGAATAGAGCCAATAGAAAATGAAGTTGTTCCCTTCAACTTTGTATTTATCTATTTACAGGGGGATGTAAGAGTGAGTATAGATGCCAAGTATGTTAAATTCCTTAGGAAAATCATGAACTGTCTAGCATGTCTTTGAAATGATACTGCCTCAGCTGTTGCTCACCAGTTTTCCTGGCAATCCCAGAGGCCCAGTGTTGGGGCTTCAGAACATAGAGAACAAGGCCCCCTGACTCTCATTACGCTTTCTATAGAAACGTTATGTGCTAGAGGAAGCTGAGCAGCTGGAGCCTCGGGTCAGCGCTCTAGAAGAGGACATGGATGATGTGGAGTCCAGTGAAGAGGAGGAAGAGGAGGATGAGAAGGTCAGGCACGTGGGAGCTTAAGGGTTAAAGGAGGGATAATTATGGGGAGGGGATGGGGGAATGGTCCTTCCTTGTTTTCAATTTAATTTTTAACTTTCTTTAACCAAAAAATACAGTATTTATCATTAAGAGTATGGGCATTGGAGTTAGACTTTGATTCGTATCTCAGCTCTCCATAATCTTGTGCAAATTAATATCCGTCTTTTCCTTTGTAAAGCAAGAATACCACCTTTCTCTTAGGATTATTATGAGTAATAAATCAGATGATATATATAAAGCCCTTTGCGTAGCATTGGGACATTATAATTGACTCACAGTTGGTAGCTATTAAAATAAATACTTGGAACAAAAATAATACTGTTCATAGTTGAACCTATCCTAAGGAGTAAACCTATCCCTAGTTTAGGGGGGGAAAAAAACCTACAGCATGCTCATGTTATTTACTAGTTAAAATGCTGAAAAGCTGAAAGCAACCTAGCTGTCAGAGCAGTCAGGTAAACTATCATCAACTCAACAAGACTATTAGACAGCCATTAAAACTGTTATGAAGAGTATATGATAATATGGTTAGAAAAGAAGGATCTGAACCTATTACATGTATCCAGAAAGGATCTAGAGGGAAATATAAGAAAGCTGGTTTATGGATACTGAGTGTAAATGGAAGCGTAGCTCTGAGCCAGTAGGCTCCCTTCAGGGTGAGTGCAAAAGGAAGCATAATGTTAGTTCATGAATTTAAAGCCAAGCAAGCAAGGCTGAGGTGCTCTTTTATAGTGAGTGAACCAAAAGTAGGCATTCTGTTTTTCCTTTTTATAATGGAAAATTTCAATCACTTACCAAAGTGGAGAGAAGGTGTCTCCATTTGCCCATCATCTAGCCTCTATACTTCTTTACTTCTTTTGTATCTCCATACCAAATTGTCCCCACACCAATTTTCTTGACACAGATCACAGCCATCATATATTTCATCCCTATTTCAGAAAAGGCCTAACCATGATACCACTGTCACCCCATCAACAGTAATTTCTAGTATCAAATATTCACTGTTGAAACTAAAATTATACTGTATGTTAACTAACTAGAATTTAAATAAAACTCGAAAAAAGTATTCAGTATTCACATTTCCCCAATTGTCCTATATATTTTAATAGTTTGAATTAGCATTCAAACAAGGTCTATAAATCAAGTCATACTATTCTACACAGATTTTTACAATCTGTATTTTTCTGATTGTATCCCTGTGAGGTCACTTAACGTGTTCGATTGTCCCTTGTATCTTCTGTAATTCTTGGATCTGGAGGCTCAGTTGGATTTGAGGTTTTTGTAGGCTTTGGAGTAGAGCAACACTACTTCATAGGTACTGGTGTGTACCCGCCCCCCCAGGGTGAGCAAAGTCAGGCTGTCTCTTTTTGTCATATTAGGAGCCGCTGTGCCTAGATGATCTCTGCCTAGACCCATTAAGGGGGTTGTAAAATGATGATATTCTAATTCTTTGTTTTTTCATCATTTGTTACCTATAACACTGTTATAAAGAGAAGTCTCCTAAATCAATATTTAGTTTTTCATAGCTACAGTTGATAGAGAAAAGATAAATATTGGATTATTTCTCTTTATCAGTTTTTAAAATGAGTTGACTCCATAGTATCTTCCCAATGTGATGAGCTTTTTGTTCTTGGTAACATTGTAAACTCATGGATTTAAGCAAATTGGATGTGTTTTAAACCATCATAGTCCTTGTTGATGCTGAAATTGTCTCCTCTCTGGCCAGTGGGGGGGCCCCCAAATTAACTCATGAGACTGATAAAATCATCGTGGTCTCCAACGCCTTGTCTTCTGATATGATATGTTCTGGTCATGTTTTGTAAGCTTCTCCCCCAACCTGAAATTAGCCATTTTTCCAGGGAGCCCTTGGTTTCATTTATAGGGAAAATGGTATTTAGATACCATAATCTGGGCACTGTAAATGCTCATTGCTATGGTTTGGTCAGTGTTTCTAAGCCTCTACAGTTGGCAGACCTAGAGGAAAATTTTAAAGATTAAAGTAAACTTTATACTTAATCTTACTGATCTTAAATGTTATCTCTTTCACATTGGAAATCTAGCTTCATAAGGAGATATGCATAATTACTTAGCTCTCACTCTTCTCACATAGTCCCAGAATACTGGTACCAACACTAGAACAGTGGTGGGATTATTGGAAACAGTTCAATTTTTTTTCTATTTGGTAGTTCTTTTTGTCCTTAGGGTTATCTATGTATTTACTGTGTTTGAAGTCACTTGAAGGTAGAATTTGGGACAGGATAAGGAGGGGAGTGTATATACTGTCCCTAAATGGTTCTCTGTAAGTCTGTGTTCACCGCTGACCTACTATCCATTTCTTTTCCAGTTGGAGAGAGTACCCTCACCTGATCACCGCCGGAGGAGCTACCGAGACTTGGACAAGCCCCGTCGTTCTCCCACATTGCGCTATAGGAGGAGTAGGAGCCGGTCTCCCAGAAGGTAAGGCCCTAGTTTTTGGCCTCTTCCAGGGAGACGTTAAGCATGGTAGCATAGAAGTTTGGACTTCAGGGAAGGAAGAAGATTGTGGAGAATGTTTCCCCAGTGTAGCAACTGCTATAAAACAACAACCCGCAAAACCTCTGTGGCATTAACCATTTATTTAGTCTGCTGTCAGTGATTTAAGTTGTGCTTGGATAGGCAGCTTAAGTTCACACACCTGTTTTGTGGTCAGCTGTCTACTGGCTAGTATAGGATGGCTTTTAATGAGGATGACTGGGGCAACTCATCTCTTCTCTGTATTTGTGTCTCATTCTAGGCTGCGTTAGGCATGTTCTCAGGGCATTGGCAGAATTCCAGAGCACACAAGATCAGTCATCAAATTTCCTTTCAGTATCTGTTGGTATCACATCTGCAAATACGCCATTGACCAAAGCAGGTCACATGACCGATCCCAGACTTAAGAGTGGGAGGGTGCTAATAAAAGGTTACAGGACAAAGAATCATGGATAACAGAAAGGGGTGAAGAACTGGGGCAGTTTTTGGAATCTACAAGTGCAGTGCACCTACTAAGGTTCTTCCTTTTTTCTTTCTGTATAGGCGGAGTCGGTCTCCTAAAAGGAGGAGGTAGGCCTTCGATTGATTTGTAATGAAAGATAGGGCTTTGCGGGGGGGGGGGGCTGCTGCTGCTGTTGTGATGAGTACAATGTCAGATAAAGGGATTTAACCAATCATTTCCACAGCCCCTCCCCTCGCCGAGAAAGGCATCGGAGCAAAAGCCCAAGACGTCACCGCAGCAGATCTCGAGACAGACGGCACCGATCCCGCTCCAAGTCCCCAGGTATAACATTTGGGCCTTTTGCTATTGGTGGTCTTAAAGAAATATAGTAAGTGCTTAGCCTTCTCCAGCACAATAGCTTGGCTATATTATGGCTTAAAAGAAAAGGAAATGAGAATATGAAAATTAAAAGTTCACATCTTCACATTCTCTTACAAGCTTTGGTGAAAGGAGGATAAGCTTCAGTTTTTTCATCTGAAATTATAGGAATAAGACCTTACATAGTGGTAAATACTCAATGTGATATTTGTAAAATTAGCCATAACCCGGAATGCATATGAGGTGGGTTCAGTTCTTCTGACACTCCCCCATAAACACACACACAGTTCAGATCTAAGAGGTGTGTCTAGCATAAGCCAAAAAAACATCACGCCAATGAAAGGGATTGGGGGAAGTGAAAATGATAGTGGAGGAGTAGGTGGGTAGAATAACATTCATCCAGTGGCCTTTTCTTCCCCAGGTCATCACCGTAGTCATAGACACAGGAGCCACTCAAAGTCTCCAGAAAGGTATGGATTAACCTTTAAGAATTTTTTCTTTATTCAGAAATTAAAGTCCCAATCACACAACTAAGGTAGACCTGAACTTTTGTTTTGATGAGGATATTTAGGAATTTTCCTTTTTTACAGGACAAAATTGGGCCATTGCCCTGAGAATTACTAGAATTCGGTATCTGTTTTTTTTCCTTTTTTTTTTTTTAATTTTTTTAATTTATTTTTGAGAGACAGAGAATGACAGAGAGAGCATGAGAGGGGTGAGGGTCAGAGGGAGAAGCAGACTCCCTGCTGAGCAGGGAGCCCGATGTGGGACTCGATCCCGGGACTCCAGGATCATGAGCCACCCAGGTGCCTTGTTTTTTCCTTGTAGGATTACAGCTTTGGTCTCAGGAGATCTGTGGTTAAGTTGAGTGACACTGGACAAGCCACTTTCATTTGATAAACTTTAATTAGAAATCATTGCTATATGCTGTACACTGTCAGGTGCACTCAACCTCTCAGAGATCATTTCCTCAGTGGTAAATTTTGGATAGTAATACCTCAGTGTTGCTCTAAGACATAACACCAAGCACATTTAATGAATATTGGGTATCCTCTCTATCCCCATCAGTATCAGCATACCCCGTCTTCCTCAAAAGTCCTTGCCTTGCTCCTTGAACAGCTGTTAAATTTATGGTTTATATGTGTTACCATTTCAGATCTAAGAAAAGCCACAAGAAGAGCCGGAGAGGGAATGAGTAATGGACTCAGTTTGGCATTAGTCCAAATGGCCACCTGTGGATCCGAAGGCATCTATGTGGAAGGATTAAGATCTACTCCCCAGGCAGCTATGAGAATATTTTAGCTCTTTTTAACCAAATTTCTCCACTTTTCTTTTTCTTAAATGAAAGAGGTGCTGAGTTTTGTATCTCTGAGTCATACTCCACATTTGAGGGATAGTGCTTCCCAAGGGCTGCTTTGGACCCCGTTGTGCAACCAACCTTGACTGTACTGAAATTTATAAGGGTAGAGAGGATGAATGACAAGGACAGGATGTGGCTGGCTGTTGACCTTTTTGTTATTAAATTTTATACACCCATTTTCCATTTTTCTGTAGTTTAGTTTTGTTTTGCTCCATGATGGTACCTGTTCTGAGAATCCTGAGATGTGTGCTGCTCAGTAAAACCTATCAAGTCAGTAAAACCTATTAACTCTGTTTTTCTCCTCCCCCAACATGTCCATGTAGTAATAATAGCATGAAAACTAACGAGTTAGCAGCAGCTTTGTAAGAAGAAAAGAATGCATTCAAATGTAGGACTTCTTCTCTGGATCATTTAATCCAATTGCATTGAACAGTTCAACGATGAAACTTAATACCTTTTATACAACATTTTTATAGAGTATTCTTCCCCAGGAGCCTTGAATTCTAGGTTATGGTGCGCAGCCTTTATCTTGTAAGCACTGACATTATCCAAGTATAGTCAGTAGCAGTAGGGCAACAAGATTGAAAAGAAGAGGAAAGTATCTAATACCACTCAGGGTTCTGACCTGAATTGCTGGAAAATAGTGCCATTAATTCACAAAGCTACAAAATACAGGAAAAGGCCAGGCTTTAGACGGGCGTGTGGTCAAAGTTGGTAGTAAAAAGTGATGCATTCAATTTATCCTAAAGTGTAATTAGAGGCTGCTGTGGTATAACTAGATAAACCCAGGTTGTTAGGAACTGGAGTTGAACATAGTGATCTAACCCTGAACTGACAACGTTTAGGTAACTGTGGAATATGCAGAATTAAATGGGATTGCCCAGGAAGTGTTTATGTAAGAAAAGCCAACAACAGAATCATTGGCAACACTCAACACTGGTAAGAGGAAGCAGCGCAATCAACCAACTGAAAATGAAATGAACCACTCAGAAGGTTAGGAGACAGTATGGCAAAGAAGCTAAGGGTCTGAAGATTCAGAAGCAAAATAAGAAATGCAGAGTGTCCATGGGCACTGATAATCAAGAGGGTGTTGGGATCTTTGCTAGAAGAGTTCAGTCTACCAGTACTTACCTTTCCTCCTCTAAAAACGGAAAAGTGAAAAAAAGGAATGGGGGAGGGGGAGTGATCTGACTTCCTGCAGCTCTGGACTCAGCAAGAATTATGGAGACCAACTGCCTCATAGAATCCAGTTTCTTGGGAAGTTATATCTGGTCATATGATAAATATTCTTTTGCTTGCTACTGAACTGAAGGACTTTTGCAATCTTAAAGCATTTTGGGATATTTGAGATTTCACATTCTTCAGTGATTCCTGATAATACTTGAGTTAATAAAAGTTGACCATAAGAGCTATTGTTATCCATTATACAACTATATATAGGACTGCCTTTAAGAATTAAAGATAAGCACTTCTATTTACATTTGTTACTGAGACCTAGCAGTTACTTCTTTACCAAAGTGATCTAGATGGAAAGAAATGTCTTCTGGCTTAATGACCTGTAGACCAAGTTATCCAGTATTATTGTTAAAATATTCACTTTAAAATGTAAGATTCAAAACTTCAAAACCTGCCCCCCAAAAACCCCAACAACTTTTAATAACAGAAATAAGCCTCCCCAATCAATCAACTTAATGCATACTTATTCAGGTATATGGTGAAATCTGAACCAAATTTCTAGTAACACAGCCAACCTATAGCAGGAAGCAGATTGTTCCTATTCTTTCATTATTTCAAAGAGCTAAGAGTTCTTGAGTTGGATATGTTGAACATCTCTCTAAAGATTGGTGTGGTAAATTACAGAACTGCAGAGGAGATGGAGCTTAAGGACAAACTTTGCTGAGGGCAATTTCTGTCATCTATGTGCTAGCCTAACTAGACGAGGCCCTAGAACTGTAGCTTTGTAACTCTGACTAGCCAATATTAAGGAACATTTTATATTTTACCTCTGTAACATATATTCTGTAACTGTTGAAACAAATTTCAGGAAAAAAAAAATTCCTTATGCAAAATGTTTCCTGTATTTTTTTTAGTATGTTTTTAATATTGGGTGTAAACAGCTAAATTTATTTCACTACCCACAATTAATTTGGCAAAAGTCTTCCAGTAAAACAACCCAACCTTTTTTTTTTTTTTTTTAAGATTTTATTCATTTGAGAGGGAGCGAAAGTGAGAGAGATGAAAGGGATTGGGAGAAGCAGACTCCCTGCTGAGCAGAGAGCCAGATGTGGGACTTGATCCCAGGACCCTGGGATCACGACCTGAGCCAAAGGCAGACACTTAACCAACTGAGCCACCCAGGCGCCCCAACAACCCAACTTTTACATTGAAAGCTCATTCCCGTAGCCCCTTTCTGTTATTTCCATTATATAGATTCACCTATGTATGACCTAAGGTTAAATAAGCATTAGTCAGAAAAGAATGATCAGGGGCGCCTGGGTGGCTCAGTCGTTAAGCGTCTGCCTTCAGCTCAGGTCATGATCCCAGGGTCCTGGCATCGAGCCCCACATTGGGCTCTCTACTAGGCGGGAAGCCTGCTTCTCCCTCTACCACTCCCCAGTTTATGTTCTCTCTGTCAAATTAAAAATCTTAAAAAAAAAAAAAAGGCAAAGTATACAAGTTCAAAGATGGTATTAAAAGGTAAGAGATGGGAAATAAGCTTAGTAGAAAATGATTTGAAAAATAAAAGCCTTATTAGATAATATGGAGTATAAAATAAAGCATAGAGAAAATAGGCTGGAGGAAATAAAAATGGAAAATAAAAGCTACAAAGGTAATAAAACAACTGAAATCCTACATATGCATAATTCACATTCCTGATGAATTGGGTACATTAAATGTCCAGATACAAGAAAATTTTCTTGAAATAATAAAGGGCAATCAAGAAATATCCTAATGAATTTAAGACATAAAGGATTATAGGGACACCTAAGAGAAATCAAGTCCCATATAATGAGGGGGAAAAAAATCAGGCTGGTCTCATCTTATAGCAAACTTCATAATGAAGCAAAAGGCTCTAGAGGTCTGCGGAAAATAGTGACAGGAATTTCATACCTAGGCAAAGCTGTTTAAAATGTAAAGAGAATAGGCATTCTATTCACTTGGGGAAAAACTGCCTAATAATGAAGTTCATCCAACAAGGGATCAAATTAAGGACTTTGAAAAAAGCAGTAAAAGGAGTGGTACCAAACATTTTAAAGACTAAATAATGGGAAATAATTTTAGGGCTCAACTTAATATGTGAACATTGTCTATGTAAGAAGTTATATAACCAAGAAGTAGAGGAACTGTTAAGTGTGCTTTCATTTTTCATAACAGGAGTCACACATGGTTTCTAATTAAAACATACATGAGAACTAGGAAAAAATGACTCTAGCCTCTTTAATGTTTTCTGTAATTGTCCTTAATTTTAAGAGGAATCTTTTAGAACTACCATAGAAAAAACTTTTTTTAAAGTTGAGCGTTTCTTTCACATTTTTTTTGTTAGATCCAAGTACAATTAATTTGCTATATTTAGTAAATATAGCATATGAGCCCACTTTTGTAAAACTCTTTATATGTATGTATATGTTTAAGAAAGATAGCTGGGGGTGGAGAGAGACACCTGGCTAGCTCAGTTGGAAGAGCGTATGGCTCTTGATCTCAGTCATGAGTTTGAATCCCATGTTGGGTGTAAAGATTACTTAAATAAAAAGAAGAGGTGGAATGAATGAAGTTCATCAGCTCTTAATAGTATTTATTTCTGGTTGATGGACTTTTGGGTGGTTTTTATACTTTGTTCTTTAATGTAATGTTCCTTTCTTAAACACATTTAAATTATCCTTTACAGGGGGAAAAAATGAATTGTTTGGACTTTAAAGCTATTTTATAAGCTTACCAACACATTTTATATATTGTTTGTTGGCACCACTTTCCTGGAGGGCAATTTAGTAATATATAGCAAGAACCTTAGAACTTTTATCCTTTAACCTAATAATCCCATATATAAATATAAATATAAATATATAAATTCACCATACTAGAATTATATACACAAAAACAGCTTTATCCCATCACTTTACATATTTTTTATATAGGAGGAAAAAAGCAGAAATGTTCCATCTGTAGGGGACTAAAATAAATAGTACATTATTAATATTCATACTTTTGAATAATCTTTAATGACAATGAAAATATTAATCTCTCCATGTCATTAAACATTATACAAAACATTTCAAAACAATATGATCTTAAGTGTGGTGTGTGTACTCTGTAAAATTGATAATTTGGGCACTTCAGTCGCTCTACAATGAATATGAATTCACAATCAAAAACTTAAGTTTACAACTTCTATGAGAAATTTGCAAACTTCTAAAACTGAGATACTACTGTATAAATTACAAACTAACAGTATTCTATTTTTCCACTTGGTACAGTTTTGCCATTTATTGAGCACAGGTAATTGCTGAAGGAGAGACAAGTGAGATGCTGTAAGTTACTATGTAGAACACTGTCATATAATTAAAACCTAGGTTACTTTTGCCCCAAAAGTACCTTTTGCCAGGTGGTAAAATGCCTTCCTTTAGAAAGTAAGGCTGAGCTGAGGGCAGTCTCTTGTTGGAGATTTTTTTCCAATAAAAATTTCAAATATAGACAAAAGAGTAAAATGAACATCCTGTACACCTCATCATCTGTTCTCTAAGACTAAATATATGAACACTTAGCTTTTAAAAAAAAAATCCTGAATGCTCCAAGTCTTACCAGGATTCCTTGTTCTCCTGCACTTCACTTTATTGCACCTTCACAGATAATGAGTTTTGGTTGGTTTGTTTTTTTTAATAAATTGAAGGTTTATGGCAACCCTGCATCGAGCAAGTATATTGGTATCTTTTGTCTAATGGCATTTGACAACTTTGTGTCTCTATCACATTTTGATAATTCTCGCAGTATTTCAAACTTTATATTTGTCACGGTGATCCGTGCCATGGTTTGGGGGGCCACAAACCATGCCCATGTAAGATAGCAAACTTAATAAATGTGTGTGTTCTGACTGCTCTACTGACTGGCCATTCCCCTATCTCCCTCTCCTTGGACTTCCCTATTCCCTCAGAGACAATACTAAAATCAGGCTAATTTATGACCCTACAATGGCCCTAAGTGTTCAAATGAAAGGAAAAGTCAATGTGGCAAACTTCACTGTCTTATTTTAAGAAATTGCCACAACCACCCCAACCTTCAGCAACCACCACCCTAATCAGTCAGCACTCATCTACATCAAGACCCTCCACAGCAAAAAGACTACAACTCACTGAAGCTCAGCTGATGGTTAGCTTTTTAGCAATAAAAGTAATGTTTTAATTAAAATGTACATTCTTGCACACTTAATCAACTACAGTATAAACATGACTTCAGTATGCACTGGGAAAATCAAAACAGGCGTTTGACTCACTTTATTGCGATACTCACTTTATTGCAGTGATCTAGGACCTAACCTGCAAGACTTCCGAGGTATGCCTATATTTTAACACGAAAATATAGTGGGCCAGCTATCTCATTAACAAAACAAATGAGTGA